TCGAAAGTCATTACGAATCGTCTCGCACGCAGACTCAACGACTTCCAGCCTCCCGAACAAGCCAGTTTCCGAAAGGGCTTCAGTACCATAGACCACATACATACCCTGTGGCAGATTGTACAGAAGACCGAAGAGTACAATCTGCCACTTTGCCTGGCGTATGTGGCCTATGAGAAAGCCTTTGATTCCGTCGAAATTTGGGCGATGCTACAGTCCCTTCAGCGGTGCCAAGTTGACTGTCGGTATATCGAAGTGCTGAAGTGTTTGTACAGTAGGGCTACGATGGCTATCCGAGTACAGAACCAGAGTTCGAACCAACCACCTATCCAACTGCAGAGAGGTGTAAGACAGTGTGACGTTATATCCCCGAAACTCTTCACCGCTGCATTGGAAGAAGTTTTCAAGCTACTGGACCTGAAAGGATACGGTATTAACATCAATGGCGAGTACATGACTCACCTTTGATTTGCCGACGATATAGTCCTTATGGCAGAATCGCTGGAAGACCTAAGCACTATGCTCAATGACCTCAATGGTGTCTCCCAACGGATAGGTCTTAAGATGAACATGGACAAAACAAAGATCATGTTTAATGTCCATGTCAACAAGCCGGTAGTTGTTGGGAGCACTATGCTCGAAGTTGTTGACGAGTACGTTTACCTGGGACAAATAGTCCAACTAGGTAAGTCCAACTTCGACCGAGAGGTCAATCGACGGATTCAACTCGGCTGGGCAGCGTTCGGGAAATTACGACACATCTTCTCGTCAGGTATACCTCAATCTCTGAAAACTAGATTGTACAACCAGTGCGTGTTGCCAGTGATGACTTACGGATCTGAGACGTGGTCCTTCACTGCTGTCCGTATGAGGACGCTCAAGGTCGCTCAGCGAGCTATGCAGAGGACTATGCTCGGAGTTTCTCCACTAAATGGAGTGACGACCTGGTAAGATATGCAGGAAGTCGATGGATGCAGGTGGCTCAGGACCGTGCTTTGTGGCATTACTTCAGGGAGGCCTATGTTCAGCAGTGGACTTGTGAAGGGCTGTAATGATGATGATGAAATGATGTGATCCTTCCCCGGTCGAACCGACCCATTCGTGCTACAAATATAGTATTGCTGCAGCGTGGCTTTACCACGAATAATAAAAATGATTAGTATAGAATAGATTCATTTTAGTACAATACAGATTTTAAGAATACTTATTGAAAGTCATTTAAGCTTTTTACCAATGGTTCGAAAAAAAACACTGTCCTCGGAAGAACCATCAAGAAACCCAGCGGGACTTTTTTAAATAAAATTAATTTAAAATGTATTATTTTAGGATTAGTATAACATTTACAACATCGTGATAGTGATCACCTCATTCTCAGAGGTTACTCTCTCAATGATGTACCCTTTATTAGTATACCCTAATAATCCTTACTAAACAATTTTTGATAAGTAAAAATTTTAAAGTTTGATTGCTATGGCCTGCATATTTTGTGAGATTTTGTTGTGAACGCGTATGCATTGCCCCATGAAGGAATTACTGACTCTTTTGAGTCGACTAAAAGGTACTAACTTGTGATGCAAGTGTAAATTATAGTGATTATTTATGACAATAAGTCACAAATATTTACTCATTTTCGTGACAAAAAACAATGTTAAAAACCTTTTTGTTGAATAATTTTTTAAACAACTGTTTTTTTACTTTCGAAGGTTCTTCTTTCGTTTCCTTCTTTTGTTGTGTATAAATCTATAGTGTCAAAATGGACGCTGGAAATAACACTCGATTTGGATGGAAGCCAATAATTTTCATTTCTACTCTCTCTCTAATTATATTAATTTTAAAAAATTCCATACCTCATTGGTTTTAGAAACTTAAAAATATAGAGATTTATATACTAAGTTAAACATGGCATAAAAAATTATATCACAATTGCAGCACTCTATGGTGGACTATAGTCGTAAAACACATTTAAGAACCTTTTTCAGGAAATGCTAACATAGTAGAAAATAAAAACGCAATATATAGATTATGGTCAAAAATGCATAAAACCGCATTATAATCTTTCGGGTAATTTTTCGGGAAATTTTGAACAAAAATAGTGGAAATAAAACAGCCTTAAGAAGTTGTTGGGCAATTATAAATACCTTTTCCGTGCCGATGGGGGTAAAAATAGCAATTCCCAAATTTCAGGTAATTTTCCCTATAAATAATTTAACAGCACTGATCACGTGACTTATGTTTTCTGTTCCAAAATAACATTACAATTTAAGACATAAAATTCTCAAATAAGTAATTATAATTACTGACTTACCTACGAAATGTGATTCCTTGATGTTTTTTGATAAAACCACTATGATTTTTGCGAAATTTAACGACGCAAAACGTCATATTAATTTTTGTTTTTATTTACAACGACTACTTCTCGCGGACGACGTTAGTAGCGTAATGGCGGGCGCTAGACTTATTATTAGTGTGAATGTGTGTGTGACCTCTTGTACGTACAAGGGAGCTGACTTATTTTGGTTGCTTCGCTGAGTTGTATAGCGAGATTCAGTCAGCCTTTTTTTATATGTCCATGTAAAAGACTTTTTTTCTGTGTCGAGTGGACGAAACATACTAAAAGAGTGTTCATTAATGTGTACCATTGTTTACACTCCTGTTTGTAAGTCTAAATTTAAATGAGTTCGCCTTGAATGTTTCCAAAACTTTATAGCAGCTGTTGGTTCGCAAATAAAGAAATTTCCTGCAAAATTCTCTTTCACTGCTCATAACCGTTGTAAATACGTTTTGTTTTGGGATGTAAGGAGTTATTTCTGTTTTAAGCTTTACTCAGTCAGATTTTCTGTTGTTTTTCTCTCCGTAATATAATTTGCAGATGTATGCAAATATTTACTATATATTATGTGGCGGCGGCGTAGGTGCTTCAAACTCCCTATTTCTTAAGGAATTTAGGTAAGGTAAATAAGGCGTCTATGGGAAACGCCAAAGAGATTTTACAGCTTTCAAAAGATGGCGGTTTTATCATATTCTTTACGCCACAAGTAAAGTATCCAAATGGAACGATTCAATGTTGAACATGCAAGACGACTGATAATACGATCGATTAATCACTTGCCAAACATCGCGATTGTTTCTAATATTCCCAAGATGATTAAAATTATCGGACGTTACTTTACGGAAATCCATTACATTAAGGATGTTAAAATTAATAAGTTAAGTTCTGCGTATAAAATAAAAATTTGTCTTATCTAATTTGAAGAACAGATCCGAGCATTTTTAACATCTATAATGAAATATTTCCTACAACGGGAGAGGAAAATGTCATACTGGTCCTAGTGGTGCTGTTTTCGATTGGCTTGTTGAGCCTGGCTTATTAATATTCCTTTAAGCCGTTAGAGGAAAATCGGAGGGTAGAACATGTCCAGCAACGAAAGAATTAAAAACAAAGTAGGCATGCGGCAGTGTACTACGATCCCATTACGAATCGATAGTCTCAATCGGGGGCAAAGAACCACGCTTGCACAGAATATTATCATGAAATAACAGCATATCACTATTGTGTATCGTATTCGTATCGTTAGAAACTTTTATTGGTATCGAGGAATTACGTACTGCGATTCTTAATCGAGGATAGACGTATCAATTGGCCACATTATCCATTTACCACGTGATAGACTGCGTATTCATTTGACACTCTTACGTCCATTAAAAATAGATACTGTTTAAAATATCTACCAAATTAGCAACATTATCAAAATAAAATACGTATGCTCCAAGCTAAACTAAACTGTACTGTAACTATTCATGTCACATTTTGGAATATCCGCTTAGGTATATGTTACAGAGCGTGTTTGAATGACACTTTCCGTAATGGGTTTCGTGACTAAAGCTTTGCCCGTAAGAGAAAGTTGGGCTCTGAGCTCCTCGTGAACTTTGCACAGCACACAGTTTTTTTAAGGATTATTAATGTCAAGGATACAATGTTGGTAAATATGTGTTATTTATGTGAGGGAATAAATACATTTCTTTGAAAGTCAATGAATGCGTGAAAATGTCTCGTAGTAACTTGGATCACATTGTATAATTTATTGTCGCTTGTAGTTTTTCTGGTACGATATGACTTAAGAGAAAAAAGCCCACTTTTTTCCTAAAAGGCCCGTACCGTATTCATGTTGCAGACGTTTGCGGCGGTGATCACTTATCATCAGCTGAGCCGTATCATATGCTATTTACCCTTCTCTCTTATTAATAAACATATATGGTATAAATTACTCCACTGGAAAGTCCAAAACTTGATCTCTTTATGTGCAAATGATTTAAATCATTGAGTCATATAATCATGATCAACTCACAAATATAAAAACATTTAAACGAACATTGCGGTAAAATATTCTAATTCAATAAAAATAAATATTAACATCGATTTATAAAGACAACATACGTAATGAGTCTTTTTTCGGCTGTGGACTTGGGAAGGGCTGTAATTATGGTGACGATGATGATGGTGAAGCAAAGCATTTACTTGGTTTTTTAATTAAATAAAATTATTATTATTAAAAATAGAAAAAACAAGAAACTAAGATAACTTATCAAAATCTATAATAATATAACTTATCAAAAGAAATATACATTATCAAAAGAACTTTCCACTTTTCACAGTCACGTAGTAGTACTTGCGGAATATAATCACTCTTACCTTTTGATAGTGTCTGGTTAATTTAAGTGCTTAGTTGGCGAACGGATTGTGAATTTTCCTAGACATATTTTCCATTTGGAGATGCTCCAAATGCTTTTATTGTCGATGTCGAAGACCCTCGAAGCCTTAGTTGGATTTAAATGGACCGTACCATTTTCATTTAAATATTATTTACTTCCAAACTTGTGTTTTCCGGAACGAGAAACGATGTTTTCTAAATCCATTAAAGTAGATACGAATATATTTTAAGTGATTTTAGTCACCTTTATTATAATTGTACGCATAAAATTCATCGAGTTATTGTTTGTTCCAGGTTACGGCATCATCTCTCTCAAAATACCAGCGTCTCCAGCTACACATTGTACTCTTCATACTACAGTGGGCTGTGTTGGAAGTGATGAATGTACGGCAAAAAGTCACAGTGTGATAAGACTGTTAGGGCCAGTCCGAGACGTAATTGTCCGACCAGCCCGCCATCATTACAGACCTGGAGAAACAAGTAAGTTTAATTTAAATACTTACTACCTTCTTTGATTTATAGAAAACTATTTTTAATATTTTGATCGAAATATATTTTACAAAAGCAATTATTATTTTAGCAAAAAAGAAAGAATTTTTTATTACAAACCTAATATGTTATACCATTAAATATAATAATATTATACAATATTAGTAACAAATTTTAAGAAAATAACAGCTAGTATAATGTACAGTATAATTAAATATTTATAACTGGCAGTCTGACGTTTATTAATTTGCTTTCCTCATAAGTTTTTTCGGTATAAAATCACTCACTCACATCCGATTTAGCTGAATATTATTGTTTGTGTTTTAATATTTAATATATTTTAATACCATTGATAGTGCGTGACGTCTATTATTTTAATACGCTTAATAATTCTGAACTTGCTGTCCCAAAGTACAGACTCCGCAAAACTAGCGGCTCATTTGTTTGTAATTAACTAAATAGATGTACGAACTTACAATCCACCTGATGGTAAGTGGATACTGCAGCCAACTGATATCTACAATCAACTTCAAATCAAGGCTATAGATACGTTGTTCCCTGAAGATGGAGACCTCACTGCGTGTACTTCACCGGCTCCCCTTCCTCTACTCGCTACACTTTAGAAAGCAGTGGAAGCACTTTTATTTGGCGCCAGAAATGGATAAGAAGGTGAAATCAATCTAAACTGACTCCTACGCCGTTTCACTACCAACTAAATATATTAAAATCAAACCATTATTCGGCAGTCAACAAATTATTTTAAAAATTATATAGAATTAGTTTTTGTATCACCGTAACGATGGCAATTGTAGCGGCGAATAGTTCCAGAGTTGGGATATTTAAACAGCACAAAGTATTTTCTTGTCACTCGCGAACATAAGTATTACTTCAACCACACTCGATAACGCGTTCGTGTATGTAAAAACATTTTCGAAGCCAAGTTTGAGAACCCATGCCAACAGCATTGCGCGCTTGTTCGCCTATTACCAACTTTCGGTTTATTGTTCAAGTTTGAACGTAAACCAGTTGTTACTTGGTGTAATTAATTACGTAACAACAGCCCATATATTTCTACAGCAACTGATTTGTGACCGTTTACGTACACATTGAATTTCAACCATGTGATGGTGTTAGGATATTAAATTGTGTGTAATTCATAGTTTTAATCGTAATATTGCAGATGCTATTACTAATTAGTTTACAACACGATCTAGTGTTTAACATTGAATATGCATATTTGATAAATTACGCATTGAAAAAGTTGAGTTGATCATTTAATGGCGGCGCAAATGTTTTCACAACTCTATTTCCTCGCAAAAACCTAAACACGATCGTTACCTTAAATTTTAAAGTTAGCCTAAAATAATGCACTGTTGAACATAAGTCTCCCCATTGATTGCATAGATTGCCTCGTAGGCGGAATATTTTCCATAGTTACCACGCTTAGCTAGTGGATTGGTAACCACTATTTTTTATTTTTAGTCGTTATTAGGAAGAAGCTGCTGCCCATCTCCTGATTGGTTTCCTCTGTTGCCTCTAACGACACCCACGTGTTGACACGGGAACCGCTGAACATACTCCTCCCCTTAGTTAGTCTCATTACCGTTAGTTTGCACTGAGGCCATTTTCACAAAAAAACATGTTATAAACACTGTATCAAAAAGCGTTTGCATAGTCAAAGAACATGTTGTAGTGAAATATGTTTGAAAATTTATTGTACATTACATATTTTAACTATATTATATCTTTATAACTACAGGAACAAAATGTTTAAAAAAATTGTAGAAATATTGTCAGGTTGAAGCATAAGTTTGAATATCTGTTAAAAAATTTACACAGTTTTTGTGAGTGCGAACGCCACCATCAACAAAACTTGTTGTTTGATTTATTTTATGCGATTTGTTTCAAAACATTACGTGTTGGATGTTTCCCAGTGCAAACGAACTGTAAGGGAGACATTTTTGTAATAAGGTGGGTAGAAGGCCACTCTAACAAATTAACAGTTATTATTCGTTTATTTACTGGATAAATGAAACTAACAAATATTTAAGTAATACTTTGTTTTATTACATAGCATATAAACCACTTTTTTAAATTGCAGATTTAATCAATATTGATTGAACTTCAAGTTTCATTGAAGTCTTCCAAATAGCCTTGCTAGGAACAAGGCTTCTTAGAAGGTCATTATAATAAATCAGTCATTTAACACTAAAGTTTAATAAATAGTGATTAAATCTACAATAAAAAGAAGTGGTTTATATGTTACGTAATAAAACAAAGTATTACTTAAATATTTGTTAGTTTCATTTATCCAGTAAACAAACGAATAAAACTGTTTATTTGTTAGAGTGGCCTTCCATGGTCCACCCACTTTAGTTGCCACTGCGGGCGTATTGGCAATGGCAGTTTTTTTATTTTCTATTTGTTATTAGGAAGACACTTTTTAACTTATTGTAAGCCAGTGCTTGACCACTATCCCACCCGGTAGTAAGTGGTGATGTAGTAACTGTCTTAGCGTAACAAAAACTTATTCATAGTTGCTTTGAAGACACCCATATTGTATTTTTTTTATAGAATGGGTTGACGAACGAGCACACAGTCCACCTGATGCTTAGTGGTTGTTGTGGCCCATAGACATCTACATCTATCCTCGATTACGAATCAAAATGCAGATGCGTCACCCGTGAGGACTAAGATGGAATGCCTCGTTTTCAGTAAAGTAAGGTCTCCGGTTTTCTACACTCACAATACGAAACACAGCAGCGTTAAGCTACTATTTTACGCTGTTATTCTGTGAGAGCGTGGTCATTCCCCGGTCGAGCCGACCCATTTATGCTACAACTATATTTCTAATATAACTGCAACATGGCTATACCACGTACAGAACGTTGTATTCGAACGGAAAGAAGCTGTTGCCCATCTCGTAGTTTATTTCAGTCTGTCACTTGATACGACACCCACGGGATGATTTGTGGTAGCAGATATTCTTACATCGCCACTACATAGTCAATTATTAATTATCATTTAGTATGTTAAACGAAATATCTTTATATACGATATAAGAAATTAAACTGTCGTGCGTAATTTTTTTTATTCCGCTCCTGTTTTGTAGTGATCAGATGTCCTCTTTTATAATTCTAAAGCTTTGAGAATCATATTTTCGTGGAAAACGCTTAAAAATCTCTTATTATCGAATATTTGCTAAGAAAAGTAAGAGATTTTTACTAGAATTTATTTTTTTACACGAAACGGTAAGATGGGAAAGTCCATAAAATTAATGCAAAAAGATTAACAGTTGATAACACCAAATTTCGTGAACGAACCATTAACTGAGTCGATAAATCGCCTCCCGTTAAGATGTTATAAAAAGCTTATTGAACCTGCGCTCAATATTTTATTTTTATTTTTCCATCTTCACTTTATTCGGCTTAACATAGTGTTATTCAGGAATTTGTTTAATACCTTATATGCCTTATAAATATTGGTTTTGTGACGTATGGGATATTTATATAGATGCTACAAAACCAAATATTACTAATACGTGGTAAAGCCAAGTTGCCGCTATATTATAGTTATAGCATAAATGGGTTTGCTTGACCGGAAACTTTTAATGCACCACGAAACCTTTTGAGGGCCACGGGTTCTCATAATACAGGAGTAAAATAGCGTAAGTGTAGAGTACCGGATACTAATTTTACAGAATTACTTGATAAAGCAGTGTTAGCAGCGTAGTTGTAGCACGAATAGGTCGGGTCGACCGGGGAAGGATCACGTTCCGACAGAATACCAGCGTAAAGTAGCAGTTTACTATGGCCTTAGCCTTCGTCTTAGACCTAATAGTATACATAACATATATTTCGGTTAACTAATGTTTTTTTTTCTAGACTTTGACAAAAATCAAATATAATTATAAGTCATATTTATATTTAAGTATTTAAGTAGTTGTAGATAGAATAGATCGAACATCAGCAACAAAATGGTCAACTGTTACTTTTGTCCTATGGGATATATTTCAGATTTATGTCATTCAGTCTTATCGACATTGTCAAAAGGTCAAGACGCAATCGTTTCCTATATATAATTTTTTAGAACATATGCCCGACTATGCGTGAAGGTGTTGTAAGTCCCGATATGGTGCAAAAACTGAAAGTGATTTAGCTTTATTATCCCAAGTATAATGTACTCCTAACACTGATATTTAACTTATATTTATTAGCGTCAGCTATTGGGAAATAACTGAAATTTTTTCCAAATATATATATTATAACGAATATTGTAAATGGTATATGTTTTTGTTACAGTCACATTTTGGATACTGGCCCTTGACCACGATCTGCGATTGGTTCGTGGTGAAATAGCCTATGTTGCCCTCAGCGATCCAGCTGGAACCAAAGTCGCCATCTGGGATCAGCTGTCAATGGAAGAAGGTAACGTTGTAGTAAACACTTTAGTAATTAAGGGTAATTAAATATACTCCCTTTCACTGTTTATAATTTTACTCAGGTGATATAAATAGATATATTTATATTATAAATTTTACTAAATATTAGAAATTAAAACTTATTAGATTGATGTACCGGCTGATTATTACGTACCGGCTGATAATTACGTACGTAATATGAAGAATTAAAACAAAAATCGAGTGTAATGAATTTAATGGGTGTAAAAGTATTAGAGATCTATAACTTAGATATTTTTCAAATTTATTTTAGTAATTAAATGTATTTAAGCTCTTTCATTGACACTATCAATTTGATAAATCAATAAATACTACAACTTTAATGTTCACTTTTCAGCAGCCAATTCAAGGTTAAGGCGTTAAAAATTAATTGATACTTACTGTTTTGATTTAGAATATATACTTTACTATCCTAAGTTTATGCACTTACCACGCATAAACTAGGTTGCACATGATTTCAATTTAGGTATTTTAAATCACTTTTTAATTTTTAACTTCCAGGTATGAAAATAAATGATTTTCAAAAAAATCGTAAAGTTATTCTTTTAGTTAAAGTTTACATAAAAAAATGCAAAGTACCTACGCCATACGCCTCTAATTCGTTCGACGAGGAAAACGACAACGAGGCAGTCAGTGTACATACATTTACTAGAAACAGATAAACTTATTTTTTTTTTATAGGATAGGGTGACAAACGAGCACACAGTCCACCTGATGGTAAGTGGTTGCTGTGGCCCATAGACATCTACATCTATCCTCAATTACGAATCAAAATGCAGATGCGTTGTCACCCGTGAGGACTAAGATGGAATGCCTCGTTTCCAGTAAAAAGGGGCTCCGGTTCTCTACACTCACCATACGAATTTCACGCTGGTATTCTATGAGAGCGTGGTCCTGCCCCGGTCGAGCCGACCCATTCGTGCTACAACTATACATCTAATATAACTGCAGCATGGCTCTACCACATATATTCGAACAACTTTTCAATGACGTGGCACAGTGTAATAACTAACTTTATCTCAGACCAACGAAAATCTGGTGAGCGGAAGGTTAATTCCAGTGTCCAATGTGGAGATTATGATAAATCTATAATGGAATAATGGAAGAGACGGTTTTAAAAATAAGTCAATGTAACGCTAAGACATCGAAAAACATATATCTATTCATCATCATCATCATTACAACCCTTCACAAGTCCACTGCTGAACATAGTCCCCCCCCCAAGGAACGCCACACGGTCCTCAGCCACCTGCAGCCATCGACTTCCTACATGTCTTACCAGGTCGTCACTCCATCTAGTAGGGGGACGCCCTACAATTAGCCTTCCGGTATGAGGCTGCACCTTGAGTACCTTTTTTCCCCATCGGTTATCGGTTCTTTGAGCTATGTAGCCGGCCCATTGGCACTTCAGTTTACTAATCCGTTGGGCTATGTCGGTTTTTCTAGTTCTATTGCGGATATCCTCATTCCTAAGTTTATCACGCAACTCCGAGCATAGCCCTCTCCATAGTTAGTTGGGTGACTTTGAGCTTCCTCATACGGCCGGCATTGAAGGACCACCACATCAATTAGGGTATTATTCAATATAATTATATTATTATTCATGTTATATAAGAAAGTAATAGAAATACTCACAATTTTAATTTTATTAAAATGTTATATTCAACTGTGATTTATAGCCACAAAACAGCGTTCTGTTCGGTAATGTATATTATATATATAAAAAACATTTTTGCTTCCTTCCCTTGATCTATCGCTAATAAGTTGTGAAAATGTCGTTTGCGATGAAAAGTCACAGTATTATTAGTTTTATAACCAACATTAGTGAAGAGAAACTATTGACTGCGTACAAAATTTGAAGTTATTAGAAGTAGTTAACTAATTATCGTTCGATAATAATAAATGTTATAAAGCGATGTAAAGCTTTCGATTTACAATATTCCTGCATTACACAGTATGCCATTATCGTATTACTTATTTTAATACTAAATATGTAATTTATATTCTTTGCCATATAAGTCAGCGTTCTTTTCCAATTCATTATTTATTTATCTTAAGTGAGTACCATCACTACGTCAAATATTTTAGGCCGTGTTTATTTTCATACAAGGTATCGATATCATGTTTTCGTAACTTAATCCTGAGTGGGGGTCTTGTAAACAATATGTACGGTAGGGGTAATGCTTTTCTCCCTAAAAGCGTTTTCTTGTCGCAAAAACAATGGATCAAGGCTGTGCCGGTATCTGACAGATTCAATTTCCGATTACAAATAGTAACGCGCTGGTATTGTTTGAATTTTGTATTACATTCCCTTTTATTTACCTTTATCTATGTTTCACGGTAGATTGGTTTTTGTTGAATGACTAATGATAAAGTAAAGGTTTATTGTTATTACGCTCTTTATACCATTAAAGGTAAGATTACTGCCATATCTCATAACTTAGATCATAAGAGGTCGGCTACGGAAGGGACGCGTCGTGTAAATACTTTTATCAACTGTGGACAATATTTTATTCATTTCACTTTCATGCACGTGGTAAATCAGAAGTTAAAGTTGTAATTACTAATTTCATTGGTGCCGTTGGGAATAAAACTTAGTTTGCTCGCTTACTGTGAAATTTTAAAGCGACCGCTCATCTCCTGGGTTACCATGGCACATTATATAAATACCAGATCTGGACATGTGAAGAGCAGCATCCAAAATGCAAAATATTTGTTATTGAAATCGCCACTCTGCTTACCAAACATAATGTAAATGGCATCTCTTTTTACTGTGGGAAGGTCCCTGTACAGCGGCAGGCTGTTAGCGAATTCCTGATAATGATGGCGTCGATTTAAGACAGATCATTATTTCAACGATTACCAGATTTGTGGATGTATATGGATTCACATACAGAACAATACAAAACAGAACAGCAAACAAATGTTTAATATAAAGACACGTAAATATATTATTTGACTTTGCATGTAGGCGGCCATCACTCAGCATTAGTTGCTGCGAAACCACAACGTTGATTTACAGTGATGACCAAAGCCTTGAAGAATACAGTCCCAAGACCAGACCAATATATAAATTTTATTAAAAATAGCATAAAATCTAAGTCATTTCTGTTTATCCCAAAGGATGACAAACTTAATAATAATTGCGTTAAGTTTTAAACAAAAATGTATATTATGTACGTATATCAAGATTTATTCTTTTAGTCGAAAGCAGCCTAAAAGACAAAATTGGTAATATATAAAGATTATTGTTCAAGCGTTAATATATCGGCATAACTTCGCCGATATCATGTGTGAGTGCGTACTTCTACAGTCTAGTATAAAATTAGTATATAATTATACCCTTACCTGATAAAATTTATAGTTGTATAAATTTAAACAGATAAGGTTCTTTATACTTAGGATATTTTACGGGCCGTGTATTCGCGGTGTTAGAATATCCACTACCCCATATCATCCCGTGGGTGTTGTAAGAGGCGATAGGGGAAAACAAACTAGGAGATGAGTAAAAGCATCTTCTTAATAACAACTACAAAATTAAAATAAAAACTCTCCTTGCCACGCCTGACAACCATGGCAAATTCCCCCTATGCGGCAATCTATAAGGGGAGGCCTGTGCTCGGCAGTGGACTCTTGATATGTTGTGTGACTGCTTATCATAAAGTGGGTTTTGCACTCGTCTGTTCATAAAAAAAATACAGCAATTTGTCAGTGACACAGTCTTCGTTCTTCTTTATTATTCCATCGAACTATCTACCGTAATGTGACGTTACTATAGACATTACTGTCGTAATGTGACGTTTTATGTTTTTTTTTCCTTCATAAAACGCAGTCTACACTCTAGATTTTGGTCGTGTCTGTTCCAAAGTATTTTCCGAGTAAATTGATTATTTCTAATATTATTTCATTTTGTAAATTCGGTTATATCGATTACTGAAGACATATGATTACAATCTCGGATATATTTTTTTGATAATTCTCTATATGAAATCTATTACATTATTTGTTTCTAATTTATTTGTGGAAGGTTTATCCAAGGAAGAATCTTTAAGGGGACAAATTTAAATGAAACTCAATAAAACTTAAAGTTCATTAAGTAAGGAACGACACAAATGATCTAGGGCAGTTGAGTTAAACTATTTGAAGTAAATTGTTTCTTGCCATGGTCTTAAACGTGGCTTGTAATTTAGTACTTTGACAAAGAGGTAAATGGAAGTCGTTAAGTTATAAGGCTGTTTTGTTCGGATAATTTTAATTTCTTGCTATTTGACTTTAACTAGAAATATATTCATTTTACTTTGTGAACCGCTTAATTAATCTCTCAAAGTATTCACGTAAGTGTCATTGCCAGATAATGTAGTCATTCACCACCCTCAATGTAGCCAATGATTGATTGCGGGGAGGGAATATAATTTTTCGGCTGTTTGTTGTTAATTTTGTGGCTGCCTTTGTAAAACAGTGAAGGAAAACATCGTGAGGAAACCTGCATGTCTGAAAAAAAATATTTCGAAGACATGTGAAGTTCACCAACACGCATTGGGGCAGCGCGGCGGAAATTTCCTTACCCTAAAACCCTCTCAGAAATGAGAGGAGGCCTGTGCCCAGCAGTGGGACTTATATAGGCTGTAACTTTAACTTTTTTTAACTTTGTAAAGTGATGATGGGTCACACACTTAAAATTGCATGACGTATTCGCTCGGTACTAATGAGAAATATCCGGCTGGCGTTTAGTGATTACATCCTCCGTTTTCTACCCGGATAATATCACTAGAACAAAAATTATTTTATTATGTAATCTACATCTAATACTGCCGTTTCTGTGTTTTGTTTTACGTTATAATTAATAATTTAAAAAAAAAAACTAGAAACTTTTCAACAGTAATTTAACTGAACAGGGGAATACGAGTTGTTGATTTCGTTAATTTTTAATAGGTGTAATTAGTCCCGGCTGCAAATATCTGTCTTCGT